CATGAATCAATATGAATAAGTATTCAACATAATAGACTGGTACCTGAGTTTAATAGAGATAGAGATTTTTATATAAAAAGCTCATGACCGTATTGTGTAACTTGATAAGTAATGATGCTGTTCTCACCATTTTTCAACTTGATTAAGAAGCCATTGAAATATACTTTTCAAGCCCTGATTTAATTGCTATTACTGATGATTCTTTCAGTAATCATGAAAAAACCGATTTTCTCTTTCAAATCGCATAAACAATGTGCTGTAACTCATCAACCAATTGTGCGACTCCCATCATATTCTGATAGAATCAAGAAGGTATTGTTATCAATTTTTTTAGCCACTACTAATTCCATTTTGATGAAAATTTTTTGAGTGATCATTGAAAAATCGATTTTGGAAAAATATCATTTTTGTGAATCTGTATGAAAAATTTAATTTTAATTGACGTCAGTGAATAGAGCTAATTAAAGTCGACATTCTTGAAATTCCATTGATCCCTTATATGAAAATTTCGAACAAAAATGAAGAAAAATCGCCTACCACAAAAAATTGAAACACTTGAATTAAAAAAAATCGAATAATAAAATCTTAAGTTCAACCGGAATTGTCAACCGCAAGTGCAAGTGATAATTCTTTTTTTATGTGTTCGGTGGGGAAAAAGGTTAATTGAGAAACAAGTTTCGATGATGATTCATTAGGTACTGATTTCAACGTGAGAATCATTTCCCTCTTTCTGAAACAGGTCTTTGTGTATTCTCGGGAATTCGTTAGAAAGTTGAGTACTCGCGAGTACGATGACAAAAATGGACGTACGTGCGCGCCAATGAGTAGAGATGTTCTTCTTGTTACTCATAAAATGCATAAGACGTTCTAAATTTTTTTTCCGGGCGAGAGAGATGATGAGGAGGAAATGCCGGCAGTCGGGCGTTCATTCATCATTCAAGGGGAGTTTAAACTCGATTACGTATTATTTATATTGTGACGAAAATAAATGGAGAATCGAAGGCAATTACCGTTTTGGAATGGAATTGCCGTCGATTTTCTTGACCCAGATACTTGGGTTACGGTTCCAATGTCTCAAAATAATACCTACAAATTATTGATCGCCCCAAATATTTTAATGATGACAGAATCCACTCGAGTGGTGGAGGAATTTTATTGGATCCGAAAAGTGTAGTCTGACATTTTCTCACAGAATTTTTACTTCACCCAGAAAAAAACCGTATTTTGAGATTTCAAAGAGCTTAAATTGAGGATTAAATGGAGATTTTCACGTCTTAAGTGTTTCGTGTGCAGAAGGAAGGGGAGTCTTATTGTTCTCGAGCCCTGATTCAATCGCTGAGCACGAAATTTTCCAATTTTCAAGTAACTATTTAAGTGTGCATTTGAACATTTTTTGAATATTGATTTTATTTATCAGATTGATTGATTTTTTTTCTCATCACCTACGGGTGTCAAATAATTTTTATTGGATGTTTTTCTAATTATTTCAATAATAATAATAATAATAATAATAATAATAATAATAATAATAATAATATAATATTATAATTATAATAATAATTATTATTAATGATTATTATTATTATTGAAATAATAATAAATAATGATTATTATTTATAATTTATTTATTTATGAACAACGAATGTTTGAAAATGAATAATTTTGTGCAAAATGTAATTTTAACGACGCTGAATATTCATATAAATCTGTCGTTAAGTTGAAAAATTTTTTTACTTGAAATTTCAAGAGTATTTTTACAACTCTGTAATGATAATTACAAGTTTCATTGACATCATACAATTAAAAAAAAATGTTCCCTTTAATTTGCAGAGTGGAAAGCTCAGCACTGCAGTTAGTATGCCCGTTGGATTCTCGTCCAGTGCAGCTGGTCTTCCGGGGATTGCAGGTGTTCAAGGAGAAGCGCGCCCTCCTTCGCGATGTTTCCGGGGTGGTAAAACCCGGCGAGCTGTTGGCCGTTATGGGACCCTCAGGTGATTGTTTGGTTTCGGCTATTATTTTCATTCCCTACTCCACAATCATAACATTTGCGCTGCCCCTCCCAGTCTCGCTGAGTGACGTAAATCATTTGGGAATGAGGAGGGCATGAACTCTGCAGGGAAAAGAGTTTCTAGTTCGCAGTCAATATCTCGGAATTTACCATACAATGGGAGAAAATTACTCCTGAACTTTCAAGTAAAAAATCTTGAAATTTTTAACAATCACTCGTTGACACGACATTTTCATGTATTTTAGTATTGAAAAATCAGTTGAATTCTGGAGTATTCAATGGAATTGCAATTTTCAAGGGCACGTGATGATGAAAATTATTTAATAATTTGACAATTCAAGGAACGATTTCCCTGAATTTACAATTTGAATGAGAGATTCCATGAACGATTTCATCTTGAAGTAGCTCTACCCTTCGATAGAATTTGACACTGAAAATTCATGTTTTCATTGAAAATTCCGAAACTTGCCGGAATTTTCAAAAGGGAAAACTCGCGTTGCTAAAAAATTTGTAAATCCCCAAAATTTTCAATAAAATTTGCGATCTCATTTCGCAATTTCAATTAATAATTTGAGAATTCAAGCAACAATTTCCCTGAATTTACGATTTGAGTAAGGAATTCCATTAACGATTTCATCTTAAAGTAGCTCTACCCTTCGGTAGAATTTGACATTGAAAATTCATGTTTTCATTGAAAATTCCTAAATTTGCCGGAATTTTTAAAACAGAAGACTCGCGTTGCTAAAAAATTTGTAAATCCCCAAAATTTTCAATAAAATTTGCGATCTCATTTCGCAATTTCAATTTAATAATTTGAGAATTCAAGCAACAATTTCCCTGAATTTACAATTTGAATGAGAGATTCCATGAACGATTTCATCTTAAAGTAGCTCTACCCTTCGGTAGAATTTGACATTGAAAATTCATGTTTTCATTGAAAATTCCTAAATTTGCCGGAATTTTTAAAACAGAAGACTCGCGTTGCTAAAAAATTTGTAAATCCCCAAAATTTTCAATAAAATTTGCGATCTCATTTCGCAATTTCAATTTAATAATTTGAGAATTCAAGCAACAATTTCCCTGAATTTACAATTTGAGTAAGAAATTCCATTAACGATTTCATCTTAAAGTAGCTCTACCCTTCGGTAGAATTTGACACTGAAAATTCATGTTTTCATTGAAAATTCCGAAATTTGCCGGAATTTTCAAAAGGGAAGACTCGCGTTGCTAAAAAATGTGTAAATCCACAAAATTTTCAATAAAATTTACGATCTCATTTCGCAATTTCAATTTTTCTCCACCAAAAACTCCTGTAACTTGATTCCATAAACTACTCCTACTAAATTTTTTCCTTTGTGTGCTCCCCCCGAGGCAATTTTTCATTTATTTTTCCATCCTTTCAACTCTCTGTCTCGTCCCTCCAGGATGCGGAAAAACGACACTATTGAATTGCCTATCCGGCCGAGTGGGCACGGACGGCGGAGAAATCTGGCTGAATCGCGAAAGACTGACAAAAAGATCGCGTCGAAGGATCTGTTATGTACAACAGCAGGACGTCTTTTTTCCCGATCTCACACTGCGTCAGACGCTCGAGGTAAGCAACAAAATTTCTTGGTATACGTTTTATTTCATCGTAAAGATAAACCTTGAGAGATAAACGTATGAACATATCCTTGATCGGAGTGGAAAAAATGTTATTCGTTGGAAAAAAAATTTGTTAATTTGAGAAAGTTCGCGTTGTCCTTAGGACAGGGGATTTTCCACTTAATTCTGGGGGAAATGTCTCTGACCTTCAGCACCAAAAGTGATTAAATTCAAGTGAGAGATTTTATTGCATTAAAAACCCTGGAATTTTTCAATCGAAAACGCTTCAAAGGAACAACATTTCGAAATTGATTACTTACGTGTTTCATAAGATCTTTATTACTAGAACTATAAACCAATTACTGTAGAGTGAGGATCTTATCGAGATTAAAAAAAAGTATGAGTTAATCTGAGCACTATTTGAGGCATAAATTACTGAAGATTAGAGCTTTATCATCTGATTCTGTGGAAAAAATATTTCTTAGAAATAAATCTAGAAATTTGTGGATCTTTTCTGTAAAGGCTGAGTCACATCCCATCCCCTAAAAGTGCTCTCAACCCCCCAAAAACAATCAAAAATTTTGCCAAAAAAAATCGCGAGGCAGTTCTCCCCTCTCGAAACAACGTAAATTACTCCAAAACAAATTACCATTTTCCGCGCGTGTACAATCAATCCCAATTATGCTTAAACGTTTCTTATCGCGTCACGATATCTCCCGCGTTAACGTACGAAAGCATTAGAAACCCAGGAAATCGCCCCAACGCCGCCCGCCAAATTCCGCCTGAACGGAAAAAAATCCTAAAAACTCGATAAATCACTTATTGCGGAGAAAGATCTCTCAGCGCAGATGCAGCAGAATTTTTTAATCAAAAAAACTTTTGAAAGGAACAGCATTTCGAAATTGAATCACTAGAGTGAGGATTTTATCGAGATAAATAAAAGTATTAATTAATCTAAACACTATTTGAGACATAAATTACTGAAAATTAGAATTTTATCATCTGATTCTGTGGAAAATATTCTAAAAAATGAATCAAAAAATTTGTGATTCTCCTCTGAGTCACATCCCGTCCCCTAATACTGTTCTCAACCCCCCAAAAAACACCATAAATTTTGCCAAAAAAAATCGCGAGGAAGTTTTCCCCTCTCAAAACAACCTAAATGACTCCAAAACAAATTACCACTTTCCGCGCGTGTACAATCAATCCCAATTATGCTTAAACGTTTCTTATCGCGTCAAGCTATCTCCCGCGTTAACGTACGAAAGCGTTAGAAACCCAGGAAATCGCGCCAACGCCGCCCGCCAAATTCCGCCGGAACGGAGAAAAATCCTAAAAACTCGATAAATCACTTATTGCGGAGAAGGATCTCTCCGCGCAGATCTATCAGTCAGGCGCTTGTGCGCATGCGCAGATGCACTCGGCGGGTAACCGTTACGCGTTGTTTCACTAGCCGGGCCTCTTATCGACCACAACAGGGAGAAACGATCACTTCACGCTGTGTGACGTCATAACTCGGTCAGTGAACCGTGCGTCTTACGTGTTTCAAAAAGCATTCGGCGCCTGGTTCTACACGCGTTTCATGTGCGCTATGTTTTATTTGGCCCGTACACACTCGCATAACCACCGAAATTGGAGAGTCGGGAGAGGGGGAGCTGTCAAGTGAGAAAAAAAACATGGAAAGGGGTTTTTGAATTACTCCGGAGTCGATATGGACTCGGAGGAGAGAAAGGAAAGGCGAAGTCGATGGGATAATTTCAAGGGTCTCACATATTTTATCGAATACATCGCAAGGAAGTACAGGAGGGGAAAAGTCAATGGAAAATAAAGGGATTAATAGAGGGATTTTTATTTTTATTCGAGAATTTAATAGAATAAGTCAATCTTTTTCCTGAAAAAACGTCAAATTAAACCAAAAATTAAACCTTTAATGAGATTAAAGGCTTTTGAGGTACACTGAGAGAAATAATTTGTTCTGTTGAAAAATTATATGCTCTCCTGAAGAGATCTTTTGTCGTGTTGAATCAATTTACTTGTGGACAAAAAAGAAAGTTTCCACCAAAACATGATAATTTTCGTGGTAGTAATTGGTCTCGTGAGACATTTATATGTCTTTCGGGTAAATACATTCGTTCTACAGAGAATTATTTGAGGCTCCGGTTTTATCAAGTCAATGTTATTGTGTAGATATTAAATTTCTTTCTGTCGAGTTGATTAATTTCCCTCAAGTAAATCTACTCCACTCTTTACACTGCAGTGTAATTTCAATTTAAAAAACGTTATTTTTTAGTGAATTATTTTTATTTTCTTCATCATGTCTTTCCGATATTCTTGATGCATAATAAAATATGGAATACATCAACAGGAAGAAAAAACCAGATGGCTGTCGCATTTACATAGGAACAAAAAAATCACTTACGATAATGTAGGAGAGAAATAAAAACTTTAGCGATTAATTACATCAGCATAAAGTTGAAAGGCAGGCACATCAGTCAGGTTAAGGATGCTGTCCTTTATTAAAAACAGAAGAATTTATTTTTATTAAAATGATATCCGTTTCATTTTCTCTGTCATCTCTTGGGCGAAATAAACTAGAAAAAATCGAGAGGAAGAGAGAATTCAGAGTTTCTCTCGTCTACAAAGGAACACGAAATTAATTTAATTAATTAACTAATTAATTAAAGGAAGATACCATTCAAATTAAGAATGTTATTCTTCACTAAAAATAGAAAAATTTGTTTTTTCAACATAAAAAAATTTTATTCGTTCGTATTTCCATTTTCTCAATCATCTCTTGTGCAAAATAAACTTGAAAAAATCGAGAGGACGAAAATTTTGAGTTCCTCTCACTTACAAACAAACACAAAATTAATATAATTAATTAATTAATTAATTAATTGAAGAGAGACACCATTCAAATTGAGAATGTTATTCTTTACTAAAGACAGAAAAATTTGTTTTTTCAACATGAAAAAATATCATTCGTTCATATTTCCATTTTCTCAATCATCTCTTGTGCAAATAAACTGGAAAAAATCGAGAGGAAGTGAATTCAGAGTTTCTCTCGCCTGCAAAGGACCAAAAAATTACAAAAAAGTAAAAAAGAAAAATCTTGTTTATTAATTACATCGTTATCAAGTTTAAAACGAAGACAGCATCCAAATAAAGAATTTTATTAATTAAAAACAGGAAAATTTATGTTTTCAACTTAAAAAAAAAAACATTTGCTCATATTTCCATTTTCCATTATCTCTTGTGCAAAATAAACCATAAAAAAATCTACAGAAAGAGAGAATTCAGAGTTTCTCCGACCCACAAAGGAGCAAAAATTAATTGCAAAAATGTAAAAATAACACTTGTTTATTAATTAATGCATCGCCATCAACTCTGACTGAAACCATCATTCGAATTAATTACTTCATGCTGCACCAAAAACAGAACAATTTATTTTTCCCAATATAAAAAAAATATCCCTTTCATATTTCCATTTTCCATCATCTCTTCTGTAAAGTAAAACCTAACGTCGGTAGCATCAAATTACTACCAACAAATAATCCCATCAAATTCGCAACTCCGCTCTTTATTAAAAAATCCTATATCCCAGAGGTTTATTTTTTCCTAGAAAAAATACAAAATGCAATCACCTCCCATGGAAAATAAAATATGCAAAAAATAATCAACAAGAGAAACCCGAGATATCTCTCGCCCCAAACAGGAAGAAAAAATCGATTACGAAAGACTAGAAAAGAACGAGATAGAGTTGAAGTGAATAGGAGTCATCCAATTGTATCTGGCACGTGCGTGTAATGCGTCGAAGAAAGTCCGGCGCGAGGATATCGTACGTGCAGAACGACACGTGAACGATAAAGCAGTTTGAGGTGTCGCAATTCCCTCGGCTTTTATTCCCTTTTTAAAAATCCACCCGTGAGAGAGAGAGAGAGGGAATGAAATTGGATTAACGGTACAAGGGGCTCTTTTATGGGTTAGAGAGGCAAAAGGTCTGTTCCACCGAAACAGAACTCGAAAATGTTAATTTTCGGGACACAAAGCGAAGAGAAAGTTGCCCATTAGTATAGGTGCTCTCTGGAACCCCCTCAAGACGCTAAAAAGGGCCTCCGGATGATTAGCTGAAGCTAGTTTAATGTGAGCGGAGGGGGATTTTAATCCAATCGTAACAACTGCAGTGCAGATACACTCAACAAGGGAAAATGGATTGTACTGGTCGGACTTGCTGAACTCGTTTCGTGTTCCATTCGCGACAAATCGAATCATTCAATGCATTTTGTACTCTCTTATTCTGTTTCTCCAATGCTATGATACATAAGAATAATGAAGTCCATTGAAATGAAGTAGAATAGAATGACATTGTGACTGGTTTGACGGGTTAAAATGAATGTAAAACTAATTTTAAGTAATTGAGTATTGATTTTGTCTTTTTATTTGAGACTTTGAGGAGATCGAGGAATTACATTTCGATGGTTTTTTGGTCTCAAATGAAAGAGCGGGTCGAGAAA